TACCATTCTAGGAACTCAATTTAACGAACGTTCCACGACCGGTAGCTTTACCTTAACAGCAAGTTGATTACTATCCTTATTCTGAATTTTTGCTATAACTTCTTAATAAAGCTCTATATGACCTATTGTTAGGAAAAATAATGATATATGGAGAATAATTGCACGTGGATTAAACTTTTACGGCAGCCATAGCAATGCTTCTTTTATTATATTCCTAATATGTATAGTATACATTCAGTAGAGTGCGCTACATTCAAATCACACGCATATGCTTTCTCAACACCTATATTTACATAACATTCTTTTCTTACTTTGTGCCATGGAATATACTGACAACGTTTGAATAATAAAACCTGGAACACCCTGTATACAATATCTACACCTCTTCTCAGTCTTTTAAGTCTGGTAGGGTGGCAATACAATCAGAATAGCAAAACAATAATTGCATAATGTACCATATTTAATTAATAATATATGTAGTATATAAATAAAAATAAATGTGTTTAAGACGTATTTCATATATGAAACATAATTTTATTTGTCTGTGTTGCTGAATCTTTTCCTCTCGAAGTAATCATTTCTTGTTTATTGCTTTGCAACATTCGTCATGGTCCCCATTGTTGACCACTTCAACACTTAGAAGAGGAGAATTAAACTAGGAGGAAAATTTGATGGAATGAATAATCAGACTTAATTGAATCAAACACAGAATTTTCCCGGTGAATCAATAGAACTTGCTTCAGCATAAGAACCTCCTCGAAATAGGAGAAAAAGCCAAAGCAAGCCACACTAATTTCATTAAATCAAAATGTCGGCTAATAATTGACATAACAAAAAAGATTTAACAAATATTCATACTTGAATAAACCTACGATCAGAACCATTTTCAATACACGCGTAGAGAACTCTCTTACCGTAAACTAACGGCGTCGATACGTAGTGATCCCACAAACTTCAGGAGTACCAAGATATCCTCTTGGAAACAGGCACGTACTTCGACGATGCCGGGCGCTGCACGGTTGGTCAAGGCACTCGCCAAGATCGCCGTACCGTGAACTAAAGACAGCACCACTCTGTACTTTCTCGTCAATCACTTGATCACTCGTACGGCTCACAATTCCGTAATCTCGTGCACTTTGCCTAAAAGCCACAATTTAAAGACCTAAATCTGCATACTTGATCTACCCAATTCAACAATTAGTTCCCGAATGACAAGCGCCAGTCAACCTCGGCGTCATTCCACCTTTTTTTCATTAACGCTTTTCATTTCTCATGTTTATTATGGAAACCTGTACCATGGAAACGGTATCAGCGCTAAAATACTATAATTTCAAAATAAAATGTCCGGAGCAGAAAAACACCCATAATAGAAACCATACAGTTTTGGAAGTTTCTGCCGTGTAGGGATCATGATGTCTCCTTCTCCACTTGCGTTTCAAACGCCCGTTGATTTGCACTCGTCAATGAAATTGTGGGCATCTGCCGGGGTGCGGACCCCACATAAATCTTTCAGGGACTGTGTCAAACATGGTTGATCGCCGTTGCCGCGCAAAGCTTCTCTGATTTTCGATATAAATAAGTAGGCGAAGAACCACGTGGATAATAATAATAATACGATCTATTTAATTTTATGTATATGTACACTCTTGTTCAGGTATATCGAAATAATTAACAAATTATGTTCATTGGAAAGCAAAAAGTAGAGGAAATGCTTTCCTCTTTCATTTGCATTAAGTTCTGTTGGGTACAAAATGTGCAAAGTACGAAGTTTCCTCTGAAAAATCTGTGCTTCCCTGTGCGCGGTACGAGCATTCGTGCGCGGACTGTCGGTTGAGCCTGCCGCGCACGAACAAAACTTGGGTCTCGTGCGCGCCCGGTCGTAAAAATCGACCCTTTCAAGTGGATTTTGCGCGCCGCGCGCCGCGCATTCGTCTAGTGTGTACGTGTTTTGGACTCGCGAACCCTGCGCGTGGCCGATGTTGCACAGGTCTGTAGCCGGCTTTATACAGATGACGTTAAAATCTGATTCGAAATACAAAGTATTTGTTCGAAACAAGGTTATTTCAATAACTTTGAAATGTGTTGTTGGAGACATGATTCCAAACATTTTGAATAATTACCAAAGGCAATTGTTTCTAGCATCCGATTTGTACTCGAGTAATCCGATATTCGTGACCATTCATACGTGTAAAAGATATCCTCTTGGAAACAGGCACGTACTTCGACGATGCCGGGCGCTGCACGGTTGGTCAAGGCACTCGCCAAGATCGCCGTACCGTGAACTAAAGACAGCACCACTCTGTACTTTCTCGTCAATCACTTGATCACTCGTACGGCTCACAATTCCGTAATCTCGTGCACTTTGCCTAAAAGCCACAATTTAAAGACCTAAATCTGCATACTTGATCTACCCAATTCAACAATTAGTTCCCGAATGACAAGCGCCAGTCAACCTCGGCGTCATTCCACCTTTTTTTCATTAACGCTTTTCATTTCTCATGTTTATTATGGAAACCTGTACCATGGAAACGGTATCAGCGCTAAAATACTATAATTTCAAAATAAAATGTCCGGAGCAGAAAAACACCCATAATAGAAACCATACAGTTTTGGAAGTTTCTGCCGTGTAGGGATCATGATGTCTCCTTCTCCACTTGCGTTTCAAACGCCCGTTGATTTGCACTCGTCAATGAAATTGTGGGCATCTGCCGGGGTGCGGACCCCACATAAATCTTTCAGGGACTGTGTCAAACATGGTTGATCGCCGTTGCCGCGCAAAGCTTCTCTGATTTTCGATATAAATAAGTAGGCGAAGAACCACGTGGATAATAATAATAATACGATCTATTTAATTTTATGTATATGTACACTCTTGTTCAGGTATATCGAAATAATTAACAAATTATGTTCATTGGAAAGCAAAAAGTAGAGGAAATGCTTTCCTCTTTCATTTGCATTAAGTTCTGTTGGGTACAAAATGTGCAAAGTACGAAGTTTCCTCTGAAAAATCTGTGCTTCCCTGTGCGCGGTACGAGCATTCGTGCGCGGACTGTCGGTTGAGCCTGCCGCGCACGAACAAAACTTGGGTCTCGTGCGCGCCCGGTCGTAAAAATCGACCCTTTCAAGTGGATTTTGCGCGCCGCGCGCCGCGCATTCGTCTAGTGTGTACGTGTTTTGGACTCGCGAACCCTGCGCGTGGCCGATGTTGCACAGGTCTGTAGCCGGCTTTATACAGATGACGTTAAAATCTGATTCGAAATACAAAGTATTTGTTCGAAACAAGGTTATTTCAATAACTTTGAAATGTGTTGTTGGAGACATGATTCCAAACATTTTGAATAATTACCAAAGGCAATTGTTTCTAGCATCCGATTTGTACTCGAGTAATCCGATATTCGTGACCATTCATACGTGTAGAAACATGGACGCCGAATTTACGGCCGACCGAGTTGCATAGTGCATTTAACCGAAAATTATGGTAATAACAACTTCGTCAAATCCTTCCTGTTTCACCTGGTGATCCCTTTTCTGCCCTTCCTGCCTTCATCTCTCTCTTTCTGGCCACGGATACGGAAGTTGGTGTGTTGTGCTGTGGTAACCGGGATTGTGCGGACTAAGTTACAAATTCACTTGGTAACGCTGTCACGTCAAACTGTTTTACCCTTAGCTGAAGCGAATAATAGTGAATCTTGTCTAATCACTGTTTGTTCTACCCGTGCGTTTTCGGCGTTGATAATTGTTTAATACACTTTCCGAAATTTCCATAAACTCATTGTGTTTTTTAATGACGTCTTATAATATTTTTATAATCCATCATCGTTCATACTTTAGACAACCTTCTACTTTTTACTCCTTCTAGACAAATCTTTGGAAGCTGAAGAGTGGGTGGCGCGTATTTTTTATTTTCGTATTGTTTCGCGAGAAACGAATTTTTTTAAATTGGAAGGAATTTATTTCTCGCTTTTTTTTCATTTTTTTCGAAATTCGTCCGATGGACAAAAACGAAGAGGTAGGGCATAAAATATTCGTCGTGTCTAGGTCTTTATGTATGTCATGATTTGATATGTTTTTTGATGTAATCAATAGTTTAGACGATAATCGAAAAATATTTTGTAAGCGTTTATTCATTATTTTAATAAGTCCGGAGATATATTTTTCCGTTGCCCAATTAAACTCAAATGCACAGATTAGCTTTTTTATTAATCAGAACAATTTTAGAGAATGATGTAAAAAAAATTTTTCATCAAGAGTTAATAAGTCCCATCCCAATTTGCAGTTTACGAAATCTCGGAGTTATATTTCAACATATCTTAGTTTCAATTATCATTGTAATTTTATTTCTTCTTATAAATCTATGGATCTTATTCACAGGACCTCTATATTTTTTCATAATTCTATTCATAAAGCTATTGATGTAACTAGTCTGTACTAGTTAATTAAACTTACCAATCGGTAAGTAATACGGCCAAACTGTTTCCTAGGAACAAAAAGAAGGATTAAAGAGGTACGTGAATGGGTAAAGGAAAGTTTCGCAGCTAGTTGAAATGGTGTTGCGCTTTAGCCTCAACGGAACTCTTCCCAAATTGATTAAACTAGAGTTAAGCTCAGCATGAGAAATGATATTGCACAACAATCACGATCAGAGTTAACATATACTCCATTTTATTGTTCATGGTATCAAAACCAGGGAATAAATC